GATGGAGCAGGAGAAAAGTGTGATGCAGAACTCAAATTCTAGTAAGAAGACCAGACTTAATGGTCTGACTGAGACTGTAGGAACCCCAGAAAGCGTGGCCCCTGGATTCTCTATCAGCCCAGAACTAATACAATTTCCGAGGCCAGCTCTTCAGACAGGGATTGGGCTGGGCTCTGGGACATAAAGTGATACCCATGAGGAGTTTGCCTCTTAGCTCAAGTAGATACAAGAAACTAAATGGGCAGCTTCTGTCGGGAGGTGAGATGAGAAGGCAGAGAGGGTTAGGAGCTGGTTGAATGGACACAGGGACTCGGGTGGAAAGGAGTGTGCTGTCACAGTATGGGGGGACCAATTACAGTCACATAACAATGTATGTATAAATTTTTGTACGGGGAAAAATAAAAAAAGGGAACCCCTCCAAAAAAGAAAAAACTGAATCCTCGCCATCCCGGAAGCCCTAGCTTTGGCTTGTCCTCCCCAGGGAGCCTTCCCTTACTGCCAGGGAGGAGGGGGTCTCGCCGTTCCCATGACTCCCTGTTCGTTCTTACTACCTGGAGCTCTTGACCATGAGCTCTGGGGGTCTGGCAGGCAGGAGGAAACAGAGTAGGGAATGTGTTCTGAGAAGAACGAACAGACCCCACCAGATGCATAAAAACGCCCCCTGTATATGTCACTCTGAGCCACATCATTCCATCCCTGACTTCACCAACCCCCTGAAGGTTTACTGATGCCACTTCACAGGAGGGACAGGGCTTGCCCAGGGTCACATCAGGCATTGACAGGGTCCCCAACCCAGGCCACTGCCACCATCAAGGCCACAGGGGACATGCTGTGACCTGACTATGATAAAGATGGGACAGGGTTTCCTGGCTTGAGGTCCTTTCCCCTGATAGGTGTGGCTTTTCCTGCCTGCCCATCTTCAGGTCCTGACATGCTAAGCCCACTTTACAGATGGGCAAATAGGGTCCCTGGATACTGAGAGCTGCCTTGAGAAGATGCAATCCTGAGGGCAGCCACGAGGTGGCAGCACCGGTTCCCGTGTCTATTCCCTACAGGGTTTTGCAGACTCTATCGCCCTCTGGTGGTTGTGGGAGAACACATACCGAGAGACGGAGGAGCATGTGGGGAAACTGAGGCAGGGTTGTCACCTCTTGGGGGACTATGTGGGAGCAGCAGCCGGGCCCAGGCACTGACCCCCGGTGGCCTCAGGTTGACTGACCATTCTCCAGCCTCAGTCACAGGGTCTGGTTAGACTGCATCAAGGTGATCACTCAGGGGAGGAGGGTGCAGGCTCCTTCCTGTCTGCAGCAGCCCCAGGGAAAGAGCCCCAGGCAGAAGTCAGGCCCCTGTTCCAGCCATGGCTAAGCCATCAACCATATTCCCTTCCATGAAATGGGGGGATAGAAGAAAACATTGTCTCTGAGCTTGTAAATACAGGGAGAGGGGAGATGGTTGGTAGCTGGGGCCTGGCCTACACCCAGGGCCTTAGTGGGGCCAGACCCCAGGGGGAGGCCGAGGCTGGGAGTCACAGTTGCTGGGCTAAGCAGAGGAACTGAAAGGGCAGGGAGCACAGGGTGGGAGTGTGGGCAGTGGGACTCTCCCAGGGCCACAATATGTGGACAAAGTGTGGACACTTGTCCCAAGTTGAGCACATCAGATGCTCCCTTTGGGGAAGCTGGGACAGAGACAGAGAGAGGCAAGCCGGCCCCCTTGCGCAGCTGAAAAGGTACTGGGTAACCCAGGGAGGAGAGTACCTTCATGAGGGGTGGCAGGAAATGCCTGTCTGTGGAGAAGGGAATGTGAGAAGCAGCGAGCACCTAGTATTCCCTGACTTATGGGCTACCCTGCAGCTGGGAAGCATGAGCCAGTGCCACATGGGCTGCCCAGGAGGGACACCTATGATGGGAACGAGGACAAAGCAAATGGCAGACTGGTTCTGAGAGAAACTGAGGCCAGCTGACTCCAATGCTGTTGCTGTTCTGCTTCCACAGAAGTTACTGTCTGCCTCCAGACCACACATCACATACTTCTACCTTATTTGAATGTTTATTACAAGGAACATATTTTGTTTTTTAAAAATTCATTAAGAAAATTAATTTTTAAAAAATTAATAAAGAAAAAACCTTCCCAAGAGGGTCTGGTTGGGTAGCCAAGTCACCCTCAATAGGGAGGACCCCGTGGTTAGGGTTTAGTTCATTGGTTGCTGGCCCAGCCTGTGGCGGGCTGCCTTGGCAAGATGCTATGCCTCTCTCATCTGCTGAGACCATGGGAACAGAGGTCCTTCACAAGGTGCTCTGCTGGGAAGGGGGCTTCACCCAGCACCCTGTCCTCGCCCTGGAAGGCACAGAGCTGGCTTCTCCCCAGGGCCCTGTCCCATTGTCCACCGACCTGGGAAGGCTAAGATTGAAGGCCAGCACGGCCACCTGCTGCTGGAGGGGCCCTGGGCAAGGCACTGTGCTCTCTGAACCTTGGTCTCCTTGTCTAAAAAGCAGGGATTTGAACAACCTTGGTACCCTGGCCTAGGAGCCTGCTCTGAACTGGGCATCCTTCTATGCACTTGACTTGCATCTTGTCATTGAACCCTCACAACTTCCCCACAAGGTGGGGGCTACCATTATGCCCATTAAACAGATGAGGAAATTGAGGCTCAGAAAGGGGTGGTCACTGCCCTGAGTCCTACAGTCAGTGAGGGGCAGAACGAGACCGGCAGGCAGGGCCATCTGACCCCCTGGCCAGGCTCTGAGCCTCTCTGCTGTGTACTCCAAGGGATTTTGTGACATATGCCTGCTAAGCCTTTAACCCCATGCCTGACAGTAAGCACGGGACAAACAATAGTTACCACCGGGCTGGGCATGACTTTATGCAGAAGCCTTCAGACCAGTGGGCCCACCATAGCCCTCAGCCACACAGATGTCCATTATAGCACCCACCACAAGGGGCGCTGCAAACGTTCTTTATTGTGAACACAACACAAAGGCCAGGGTAGGGTTTGGGAAAAGCAGAAACTTAGGGGGAGCCTCATCGTTTGCCCCTGCCCCCAAGACCAGGGAGGGGGCTCTCCCTAAAACAGACTCTCCCCTACCTCCCTGTCCAGGGCTGGAGATCTGACCGGATTACCACTCACAGGATCTGGCCGACTCGACAGGGCAGCCATTGACAGCCCCAGGAGAACAGCTGAAAGGCAGGTCCAGGACAGGGGATGGAGTGCGTCACCTCCACTGGGCTGGGGGTGAGGGAGGAGGTAGCCCCTCTGTGACTCTCAGGGGGGCTGCTGAACAGAAATTGAGCCTGGGCCTTGTCTCCTAGTGTCCCAAGGTGCTAGTAGGTGTTCAGTGTTAGAAGTAAGAGGGCTCAGGGGGCAGCCTCAGATATCAGTATGATGGAGGGTACCACCAAGAGGCAGAATGGTGCTGTCCCCCACAGCACTCGAGCGTGGCCACATCACCAGGTGCTGGCCCAAGGGTCCTGGTACCCCGCAGCCAGTGTCCTCCGCTGCCCTCCTCCTGGTGGGGACACTCAGTGCACTAGGAGGGTCTCCGCGATGGCCTTCTCCACTCGCAGGTACCAGGGCTGAATGTGCGTGTGACGCATGAGGTCACTGAAGGCCTCCAGACCCTCCATTACACGCAGCACACCGTACACCGCCTGGAATGGGGGACAGGACTGTCACTGTGGCTCAGCTCAGAGCAGGGCATGTAGGGCATGGGGCGGTGGTGGTGGTGGGGCGTGTCCAGACCTGCCCCAGCCTCTGCCAACTGTGTCTGTGGCCCGTCACCTCCCCTCTCTGAGCTCCAAGAGTTCCATGACCTATGAAAGGCCAATTTTGCACCCAGTCTTTGAAGAAGAGCAGGGTATGGCTGTAGATTTCATCTGCCCTGTACCCATGCCTCCTTTTCTGGGTAATGCCCCCCTGCTGAGTTTCCTTTGGGAGAATACCCTCCCCAATCCTCAGATTCTGAGGTTTGGAGAGAGAAGACCCCACCCAAGACCGGGGCCTGCCAATCAACGTATTCTACCCTGGGCCGCAGGACTGCTTCAAGGAGGGGCATCTAACCCAGGCCAATAAGATGCTGTCCCAGGACTTTTTCTGGGTGGAAGCCTGTAGCTGTATGACCCAAGCCTGCTTCAGGCTGAACCAATTCCAAGAAAAGCAGGGTTGAGAGTTGGTTATAGGGAGAGCCCAAGCCCTGGTAACACTACGCGGGCTCCTGGATCCAGCCAGGCCTGAAGCCAACCCCTGAATTTGTCAGTTATGTGAACCAATGCAGTTCCTTGTAGTTTGTTTTTAACTTAAGCCACTCTGAGTTGGGTTCTGCCCCTGACAACAGATGGAACCAGCTTCCTCTGGGGACTGGGGGAGCTGCAAGATGTCAGCATCGCCACCAAAACAAGCCCTTCTGTCTGGGCATTCCCCACCACCACCACTCACCAGGTCAGCAAGGTTAGGCTTCTGGCCCCCCATGAAAGGCCGGTCTTTGCCCACTGCGGCCACCCACTTGTTGGCGGCCTCGTAGAGGTCCTCACGCACATCATCCTGGAGGTGGTGTCTGGGATGGGGGTGGGGAGAAAGACCATCAGGGGAGGTCCTGCCCCTCCCAGGTGGGAAGCCAGGCCTCTTTGGGGAGAGCAGGAAGGCCTACAGGCCAAGGTCCCACTGCTGCCCCCCTGGTGGGGACATCACATCTACAGAGTCCAAGAGACCTCAGTGGTCACTGTCCCAGATGGGGAGACTATGGCTCATGAATGGCAAGACACCTGACCCAGGTCACCAACAAGAGAGAGAGACAGAGGAAGACACAAGGCAAGGACCCAGGCCTCTGAACTCCAGGGCCTGCCCTGCTTCCCTCTGCTGGGGAAGAAGCAACCAGAAGTTCTGGGTTCGTCATCTTATAACATGGAGGTATCTGGAAGGCATTATGCTAAGTGAATTTAGTCAGTCACAAAACGACAAATATTGTATAACACCACTATTATATGAACTCAAGAAAAGATTTAAACACAGAAGAAAACATTCTTTGATGGTTACGAGGGTAGGGAGGGAAGGAGAGGGTTATTCACTAACTAGATAGTAGACAAGAATTATCTTAGGTGAAGGGAAGGACAGCACACACTACAAGGGAAGTCAGTACAACTGGACTAAACCAAAGCTAAGAAGTTTCCTGAATACAACCAAACACTTCAAGAGACAGAGTAGCAGGGGCGGGGGTTTGGGGACCATGCTTTCAGGGGACATCTAGGTCAACAGACGTAATAAAGTTTATTAAGAAAATGTTCCACATCTTTGCTGAGTGGTGTTTGGGGTCTTAAAAGCTAGCGAGCAGCCATCAATTGGTCCCAACTACCTGGAGTAAAGGAGAATGAAGAACACCAAAGACACAAGGAAAGTATTAGCCCAAGAACTAGATGGTGCCCGGCTACCACCAATGATTGCCCTGACAGGGAACACAACAGAGAGTCCCTGATGGAACAGGAGAAAAGTGGGGTGCAGAACTCAAATTCGAGTAAACAGACCAGCCTTAATGATCTGACTGAGACTGGAGGAACCCCAGAAAGCATGGCCCCAGCACTGTCAACCCAGCACTAAAACCATTCCCAAAGCCAACTCTTCACACAAAGATTAGACTGGACTATGGGACGTAAAATAATACTCGTGAAGAGTGTGCTTCTTAGCTCAAGTGATACATGAGACTAAAGGGGCAGCTTCTGTCCGGAGGTGAGATGAGAAGGCAGAGAGGGTCAGGAGCTGGTTGAATGGACATGGGAAATCAGGTGTGGAAAAGAGGAAGGTACTGTCATAGTCTAGGGAGAGCAATTAGGGTCACATAACAATGAATGTATAAATTTTTGTATGAGAGACTAACTTGAATTGTAAACTTTCACTTAAACTACAACAATAAAATAATATAAATAAATAAATAAAGCAAAATATACCAGTAGATGGAAATACCAAAAAAAACAAAAAAGTTCTGGGTTCGAGCCCTGGCTCTGCTAAGTGATTTATGATGAGTTTTGTGCCTTCTCTGGGCCTTGGTCTCCCATCTATGTCCTGAGGGACTTAAGGGGATCATCTTTAGGATTGAGAATCCACAGCCCAACACCATAGTCCTTGAAGCTGGGAGTCAAGGGGTCTGGGGGCTCAGGGGCAGCAGGCCCCAGACACACACATGCACACATACATGGGCACCATCACCTGCTCTTGAGTCGCTTGCTGATGAAGTACATGGCAGCTGCACCCACATACTTGGCCACAGCGCCCTCCACGGCCCCGAACTTGCCCTCTTGGACGATGTAATCAAAGGAGGCCAGGGCCTCGGTGGGTGTACGGTACACGTTGGGGGAGATCAGGTGCACCAGCCAGTCATCTGCCCACTGCCGCCACTTCATCTCCTCCCTGCCGGTATGGGAAGGAGGGATGGCAGGAGGGCAGGTGGGCCACCAGCCCCTAACCTGCCAGTTGCACCCTCCCAGGTCCACTGAGAGGTGAAACCAGTGGACTTGCCAAGCCACAGGCCTGGGGTGTGTTGGGAGCAGAAAAGACTGTTGAAACGGGCCACTGTATGGATGGGAAGCTGAAGCCTGAGCCAGGAAAGCCCTTACTGAGACTCAATCACAGACCGTGGCTCCTGCCAGCCCAGCCCTCGTGGTCTCACACGCCACTCGCCCTCACAGCATCCCCCTCAGTCTGGTCCCTCTCTGGGGAAGCCCCTACCCTTGCCACCTCCCCTGAACCAGCCCCAGTTCCACTCACGTCCTTGCCTCCTTCCCGCCATATAGCCGCTGGGCCTCCTTCTCATCTAGCATGAGCCAGTACTTGTTGCAGAACTCAGTCACCTCCTTGCCCTGGTCGTTTATGGCCTTCATGGGTGGGTAGTAAGTGATGATCTCCTCCAGGGACTGCCTTTGAGAGACATTCAGAGACTTACCCCAACTCCTTCCTAAAGGAGACTAAGCCCTGACCTCCTCCTGTCCACCCAGCCTGAACCTAGTCCCGGGGTGGGGCCAGGACAGACCCACAAAGGCTTTCCACCCCTCCTGCGGGTGACACATGAAGCCCTGCAGCAAGAGATACCTGGAGTAGACACCAGGAGCACTTCCCTGACAAAGGGAAATGTGCAGGGGCAAGGGTGTGTGTCTCAGCGTAGGGCAGCCATGGCCCATTCAGCAAATCTCAGCAGTGGCCCCACCCTGCTCCCATGAAGGCAACTCAGGTGAGGCCTCCCTGGAGGCAGGAGAACAGACACCAGCCTGGGCCTCCAAGGGCTCCTTACCCCGACACCAGGTGGGTCTTGAGGGCGCTGATGATGACAGAGGAGTCATTCAGTTGTTGCTGGAAGAGAAAGAGGTTGGTTTTTGAAAGGGGCTGCATGGGAATTTCACGTTTATTGTCCGCTGTGTAGGCCTAGCATCCTGGGCATTGTGGTATTGTTAATGCATAGCTCGCATAGTTCACTTCTGCATGCTCCTATGATTCTGATTTATTTTCCTTCTCTCTTCCCTCCTGTGTTCCCATGATTTTATAAAAGTTTAAAAATTAACCTAAGTTCCTCTTTGCGAGGTAGAACAACGAATGATAAAATCTGAAGGCGAGACAACCGAACAAAGAATCTTCAAGAATAGCCGCAGAAGGTCAAAATGTCTGGAACGAGGTCATTGTGCCCACCTCAAAGGGGAACTAACATTCCGCAGATTCTTCGGACCCTGACCCTGTCCCGATAAAATCCTCTGATTGGCCTCCAGAGGGGGAGCCAGATTTTGGAGGGGCTCATTCCCCTCTGTCTCCTGTATATCGATATACAGTAAAACACTCTCACTGCTCACCTCAGCCATCTCAGGATTGGCTTTTGTGGCAGGCAGCTCAGACCTGCGTTTTGCGGTAACAAGCTCAGTGGTTTTTTGACTGGCCACCAGCAGGATCACTGGGCATGCTTAAACAATACTAAGGGCCAGACATTCCGAGGAAATGGTCAGGTGGAGCCAGGGCATTGTTCATCCATCCCTGGGGGTTAAACCCTAAAACCAATGCCCATCTGAGCTCTCCTCCTCGCCCCAGGACCCAGTCTCCTCCCTCAAGGCACTCATCCTGGGTAAGGGAGACCCAATGCAGCTAATGGGGAGGAGGGCATGGGGAGGACCCAGGGTCTGAGCCCCTGGCCCACTCACTGCCCAGCCTCCTGGGCACCAGTGGGCAGGTGGGCTCCTAGCAGCTACATTCTCAGTGCCGATTACTGTGCCAGGCATTTCATATCTGCAGTCCCTACAACCTAGAGATTATGCTCAAGTTGATTAATGAAGAAACAAGCCCAAAAAGGCTTTGTGACTTGCCCCAGGTTACACAGCCAGTGAGCAGTAGAATCAGTCCTTGAATCTGGACTACCCTGATTTCAGAACTCATGTTCTTAAGCTCTAGGTATTCTGCCTCACTTAGACTCAGCTGCTGTTTGGTATTGGTGGGGAAGGAAGGGAGCCAAAATTTATTGAGCATCAACTGTCTATCAGCTACTTTCCCCTCATAATCTTCAGCCGAGGCCCAGAGAGCCCATGGCTGCAGAGCAAGGCCAGACTTAGGGTGCATAATGCAAGCCCATGGCTGACCTGGGCTCCAGAATGAACCCGGGATGGGAGGGAGGTTGGAGATGGAGTTCCCTGAGGCTCACCAAGCAGTCTCCTTCCTGGGCCAGCAAGATGGGCACCTTCCTGTAGGAGGAGAACTTGATCTCGGCCCTGCGCACAGGGTTTACCTCCACCACCTGGTAGGGCAGGGCGTGGAAATCCAGGAAGGCACGGACCTTGCTGCAGAAGGGACACGTCTTGTACTGGTACAGGGTCAGCTGCAGCTGGCTCGACAGGGACAGCTGGATGGGGAGGAGAGGGAGGGGGCATCTGAGAGGCCAGTACCCCCAGGCCCAGGCCCCACCCCCAGCAAGCAAACATGTATTTCCCAGGGAAGTCTTCTGAGGTGACCCTGAGAGCAACAGGAGAAATGAGAGGGGGTGCTGAGAGAAAGGGAGGATGGCGGGGGCAGCAGGGGGGGGTGGCTCATGTAGTGAGCGGACAGCCCAGGTTCAAGCCCCCAAACAGCAAGCTTCCCAGGGCAGGAGGCTGAGCATTCGCTGAAGGTCTGTGTAGGAGGAATCTTCCGGCTTCTGTCCAACAGTGGAGGATACCTTTCCTCTTCCCCTGTCCCAAGGGGACACCAGACAGTCCCAGCTATGCCCTCCAGAAGCAGAACAATTGTTTCAACCTGGGGTGCCCACCCTCCCTCCCCAGCCCCAGGGCTTGCCAGAGTGGGGTCTACCTCAAATCTCCAATGGAGGAGAGTTTTATATGGGTCATGGGCCTTGAATCTGCATTTTGGTAAGAAAGTCCCCAGGTGAGCTTGCTGCACATTCATGATTGAAAGCCACTGCTGTAGATCACCTCCTTCAGTGTTCAGACGGGAAGTCGAGGCCAAGACCGTGGAGGCAGACGGAGAAACACAGTGCAGCCAGACCTCTCCCCCTGTACCCATCCCCCTTTCCCCTGGGTCCAGGAAACTAGCGCCTGTGGGTGGGCAGTGGGGGCCAGAGCAGAGAAGTGAGGGCTGTGTTGGTGCTGGGTGTAATATAAAGTGTCTCAAGGGGGCACGGCCACAACCCCCCTGGTGGGACTCCTCCCTATCTCAGGGCCTAGATTCTAAGAGTCATCAGTATCATGAAAATACTAATAATTACACAACCTTAGGATTTCGGAGTGATGGTGGATAGACAAAATGTTAGAAAAATGATAAACTGAGTGGCTTTCTCTTTGCTATGAACTTCGAATCAAAAAAGTCTTCCTGAAACACTTTGTTGCTGTTGTTAGTTGTGATCCAGTCAACTCCCACTCAGGGCAACCCCATGTGTTGCAGAGTAGAACTGCTCCACAGAGTTTTCAAGGCTGTGACCTTTCGGAAGCAGATCTCCTTGCCTATCTTCCGAGGCGCCTCTGGATCTGGCCTGTCTTCCGAGGAGCCTATGGGTGGGTTCGAACCGTCAATCTTTCAACCTTTCGGCTAGTAGTCGAGTACTTAACAGTTTGCACCACCCAGGGACACCCTAAAACATTTTAGAGAAATGATTTTAAGAGAAAGACAATTTAAGAAGCAGATATTAGTGAACGCCCCATTTTACAGATGGGGACGCTGCAGCCTTGTAGTGTTAAACGAAGTCACTCGCCCAAGGTCACTAGCGGGCTTAGGCAACACACCCGGCTCCACCGGTTCCCCGGAGTCCAGAAGTTCGGCGTTGTCCAGCCCCAGCACCCCCACCTCTGGCCGGGCCTAGCCAGTCCTTACCTGCGCAGCCGAGTGCTCCGCACGGAGGTCCTGGGCGCGCAGGTGCCACCGGGCCGTGTGGTACAGCCCCAGGGCGCCCCCCAGGGCCAGCGCCGCCGCTCCCAGCAGACGTGGGTTCCCTTTGCGGGCAGTGATGGCGGGGCCCGGGTTGCCCGCCGCCCCCGCGAGACCGGCCCGGCTCCGCGCCGAGAGCCCAGGCCCGGGGCGGCAGCCCAACCTCCAGACCACGGTGCGCCCACAGGGCCACAGGGCCCGAGCCGCTAGGGCCATGTTCGCTCCGCAGTGCAGGCGGCGCCGCGAGCGGGCGCGTGAAACAAAGACTACACGAAGCTCGGGCTCCCCTTAAAGGGGACGGATCACCAGAGCAAGGCGGGTTACCCGGGGCTACGATTACGCCGAGCTTAATTGAACAATCTTCCTGAGATTGGGTGTGCATGTGCTCCGCGCCCAGGTTCCAAACACCTTTCAGAGCTGCAGAAACACCCAGAGATCTTTGGAAGTAGCTAAATTTCTCCATATATAGATCTCATTGGTGACCCCGGCCGAGCGAAGGGAATACCCGGGTGCTATCCCTGGATCTGCCGTGTAACCACTGAGCACCAGCTTCCTCGTCTATAATATATGGTTCCTAGTTCCTACTTCATGCACCCATTCAAAACAAAACGAACCCGAGCCCTTCGGGGTGTCAGGAAAATGGCCACGGTTTTCGGGTCAATAAAGGCAGCCGTAACGGCCGGACCGGTCACACAACTGGGTGGTGGAAGCGACTCGGAGCTCTTTCTGCCCTCCCGCACCATAGCACCATTCCCTCTGTGGCCGGAACCATAAAAATTTCCCAAAGCCTTACAGGGCCTTGGGAGCCCCGTGTCTCAGATTTCTCGCACGCGGAGGGTCCGGCTGCGCATCCGGAGGTCCCTTCAGACAGGATGAGACAGAGTGGGGTTCCTAAGCTGCCCTCGCCCTTCTGCCAGGCTCACTCGCCCTGGCCCAGTGCCCAACACTCCACCGCCCAGGCTTCTCCGTGGGCAGCCCAGGATGGCCCAGCTAAGCTACCTGGAGAGGGGCAGGGCTCAGAGCAGGCGGGGCTGGGCGGAAATCTGACGGAGGGACACGCTGTGGCCGGGGCGGAGGCGGAGTCTGATGATGGGCCCGCCGCGGGGCGGGGCGGGAGCTGAGACCAAGGAGGCGGAGCTCTGGGGGTCGGGGCTTGGGCCTCCAGGACGCATGCCTGTTTAAGGTTTGCTTGCGCTTCCTCAACTTTCCGCCAGGCGCCAGCTTTCCGCTCGAGGGTCTTGGTATTCCATAGTCGTGTGGCCCTTGAGGCGCATAAGCCTGCAATGTCTTGCCCCAATGGTGACTTGGGCATGCCAGTGGAGGCGAATGCGGATGGCGAGGACGATGGCTTCGGGGAAGCAGTGATGGAAGGGGGCCGCTGAAGCGACCTTTGCCTTTCCAGGAGTGCCTTCGTGGGAAGGGGAATTGGGACTGGGTTTGGGGCTTGGAAGGGACCGAAGAACTCTCCTCTCCCCCACCCCTAGGTGGGTCTCGAGTTACAGGCACCGCCTCGGGGATGCTGGGCGAGCGCTTGAGAGCGGGTCCCTGGAAAGCGCAGTGTTGGAAAACTGGGCAATCTGTCTCTCCTTTTACAGGTAGGGAAACAGGCAGCTCAGGGATACTTGGCCGTTTGGGATTTGCTCCAGCCACTTCCTTCAGCCCCTAGGGAGGCCGAGTCACCTGAGGGGGGCGGGACCGGGTTTGGGCCTGCTTGGATTAGCAGGAGGCGCTGACCAGGTAGATGCGGCTCGCTCTGCTGAATCAGCATCCCCAGGTCCCTGGCTTTGCTGTTGTGATCTCCAAGCCTTGCCGATGTGACCTGTTTACAAAGTAGTCTGTTGAATGCAGAGGACTGTGGGGGTGGGAAGGGGCCGAGTGTAGAGAGAGAAACAGTGGCTCCCATTCCACCCTCGTTGCTGTTAGGTGACATCTAGTCAATTCCAAATCATAGCGGCTCTATAGGACAGAATAGAACTGCCCCATAGGGTTTCCAAGGTGTGGCTGGTGGATTTGAACTGCCGACCTTTTGGTTAGCAGCTGAGCTCTTAACCACTAAAGCACCAGGGTTCCATTCCATCCTTAGGAGCCTCAATTTCCCCATCTGTGAAATAGGAATAATGATTAGCATCTCCAGCATTGAGATGTGTCAGGATTAAATGAGAAAATGAATGGGGGGAGGCTGAAGGTGAGTGAGGCCCACCTGGCAGCAGCCCACCCCAGCATCTTTTGCCATATCTAGGAAGGAAACCCAATAACTAGCAAATACTTGGCAAAGTTCTTTTCCCTTTGTCCTCTTGGCCAGGATTAGGCAGGACGTTAGCACAGGCACAGGGCTTGGCTCTTGGCTCACTGTCCCGTGCTCATTCTGCCTCATAGCACTCCTTTTCTGCATTGCCTCTTCCTTAATTCATTCCAGCCAGGGACCTTTGGTCTGTGGCCAGCACTGAGCACAGCCTTGTTTAATGCCCAGGGGCCTTGGGACTGAGCGACCAGCTGCAGCAGAGCTGAACTGAGCCCTAGACCTGTGTCTGAACTGTGCAAATCCCAGGGCTCAGTGTGTGTGGGGGGTGGTGGTGGGGAGTGCCACTAAGCCCAGTGAGGACTATGAGGCCCCTGTCCCTGCCCATCTCTCAGCCCCAGCCCCTCTCCAGCCTCTATCTGAACCCCAGTCCTCTACCCCAGCCCTGCGCCTATCCCTGTCCCCAGCCTGGCCTCCCTGACCATGCCCTAGCTTTGGTCCAGCCCTCATTTAAGGGCTGAACAAGTAGGCAGAGCCTCCTTCTCCCACAGCAGGTGAAGGGGCAGAATGCCCTGTCCCAAGCATGGCTATGCTCTCCTGTTGTTGTGGGGCCAGGTAGCCAAGACCCAGGATTCTCAACACAGGAGAGGACAGAGCCTCTGTCCAGGCAGAGCCCAGATCCTGCCAGCCCATGAGTCCTGTTCTGGGCTGAAACTTCTGTGACCTCCTTCTGGCCTCTGACCTTGTTGGCTAGTCACCTCCAGGACACATGCCCCTTCGTGGCTGTGTGACCCCACCTCTCCTGGTTTTCCTCCAGCCTCTCTGGACACCTTTCTCTGTCTCCTTCACCATCTTCTCTTGTGCAGCCCTGCTTCTTAAGAATAGAGTCCCTCAGAGTTCAGTCCTGGCCCTGCTGGGCTCCTAGACACATGCCTTTGGCCACCCCTTCTCTCCCCTGGATTTTGTCATCATCTGTGTCCTGAAGACCCCAGCCTGTGGTTTTCAAGTCAGCCCTCCCCTGATTCCAGGCCTGGGTTTGCAATCACCTCTGGGACAGCTGGGATTCTCCCACGCACCCCTACCTCAATCCAGGCACAACCAGCAAACTTGTCATCTTTTCCAATTAACCACCCACCTTCTCCTCTTCTGCTCCTGCCTTAGTGGCCAAGGGACAACCCAGGAGTCCCGCCAGCCTCTTCACCCTCCATGACTCCCCAGCCCTGCTCCGCCATTTCTCCTCCTCTCCTTGCCAGTTACCCCTCTCTAAAGTGAGTATCCCACTGCCTCTCATCTCATCTGGACCCTACTGAAGCAGGTCCTCACTGGTCTCCCTGCAGTCACTGGTCCCTTTCCCAGATGCCGTCTACAGGAGCCTATCAGAATCCTACCCCCTGCTCTGCCCAATGTCGGATTCTACCTGTCCACCTGATCTGTGACCCAGAGTCTGGACAAGGGAGTGGTCTGTAGAGCCATGATCTCCAGCAGAGACTAGAGAGGGGTCGAAGTATACTCACCAAAGCACTAGTTACTTGGGAAGGACAGTGGTGGGGGTCCAATATTTGGAAACCACTGATACATGGTCAAGAGGAAGGAGATCCACATGTAAAAGAGGAGGGTAGTCCCAGGCAACAGCCTGGACTCCTGCTTGGCTTGGGGTCTTCCTGGGTGGCTAGACGGTGGGTGGTAGACCTCAGATCAGCCATGGAGGAGAATGGGCAAGTGGCCAGGAAAAGACTGGTCACATGGTCAGTAGCCAAGGGGAGATTTACAGAAGTTATGGCCTAGAACAGGGCTTCAGGGTTGGTAGAATCTGGGATCTGTCCCCTTCCAGATAGAGTGACTCCTAGGCTCCAGAATCAGGGGCTGCCAGATCAGCCAGTTGAACACTTACTACTTTCCTGCCAGAGAAGGGGTCTTCACTATCCCTACCCAGTGGGACTTAATCATTGCTTAGGACAGAATTTTTCATTTTTCGGTTGTCCTCAAGTCTATTCCAACTCATGGCAGTCCCAGGTATGCAGAGTGGAATTGTACTCCGTAAGATTTTCAAGGCTGTGACCTTTCAGAAGCAGATCACCAGGCTTTTCTTCCTAGGTGCCTCTGGGTGGGTTCAAATCGCCAACCTTTCTGTTACCATTTGCACCACCCAGGGACTCCTACACACCTATTAGGATAGCTAAAATTAAAAAGACTGACCATACCAAGTGTCGGTGAGAATGTGAAGCAACTGAAACTCTCATACAGTACTGGTAGCGAGTGTAAAACAGTACAATCACTTTGGAAAAAAATTTTGGCAGTTTCTTAAAAAGTTAAGCATATGCCTAACATATGATTCAGCCATTCCACTCCTGTGTAATTACCCAACAGAAATGAAAACCCATATCCACACAAAGACTTGCACACAAATGTTCATAGCAGCTTTATTTGTAATAGGCAAAACCTGGAAAGAACCCAAATGTCCATCAACAGATGAATAGATAAACAAATTGTAGTATATCCATACAATGGAATACTACTCAGCAATAAAAATAACAAACTATTGATATTTGCAACAACATGGATGAATCTCATCATAATTATGTTGAATAAAAAAGAGAAACCCCAAGAGTATGGCCCCCGGACACCCTTTTGGCTCAGTAATGAAGTCATTCCTGAGGTTCACCCTTCAGCCAAAGATTATACAGCCCCATAAAACAAAATGAGACTAATGGGGCACAACAGTCCAGGGACAAGGACTAGAAGGTAGGAGGGGACAGGAAAGCTGGTAATAGGGAACCCAAGGTTGAGAAGGCACAGCATTGACATGTTATGGGTTGGTAACCACCATTGTCATAAAACAGTATGTGCACTAACTGTTTAATGAGAAACTATTTGCTCCGTAAACTTTCATCTAAAGTACGATAAAAAAAAATTTTTTTTAAATTTAAAAAAAGAATATGTGCAGTTTATTGCATGTCTGGTGTTTGTGAGAAGATTTGTTAA